AGATAAAATTAAAGAATTTTAATATTAGTTACCATCTAAGTCCCAAGGATCATAAGGGTAAAGATCGAGATCCGGGATGACGTCGGGGTGGCAAGGTAAGAGGGCGGCCTTGCGGTGGAGGAAGTGTACTACAAGCTCTTCGTCCGTCGGGTAGAATCGGAAACCAGGCGGCAAGTTCAAGTTATTATTATTATTATCCCCCATTTGATATAATCAAGAAGAGAGAAAAATATAGTAATTCTTGATAAGAGAAAAAAAAAAAAAACAAGTTTGCATATATATACTACTAAGAAGTATAATACATATAGATATATATATAGTGGTGGTGGTGAAGAGTGAGGTTTTGTTGATATTTATAGTGAGAGAGAGAGAGAGGGGAGGAGAGAGAGAGAAAGGTATTGACGTGAAATGGAAGGTGTTTGGGTTTGATCACCAGCACCACCACCATAGATTTGAAGCATGGCTTTGGGTTTTTTTATTTTATTTATTTTAATTTATAGTTAATAATTAATTAATTTAGGTTTGAAAGTATATTTGAACAAAGTGTTGGGTGGTGTGCTGCACTCCCATTTCCCACTCCAAGGCGGCGGTTATGCAGAACGTTGCATACTTTTCAAGTTACGGGGCCTCTTCTATTTGGAGGGAACTTTATTCTATGTATACATACATGTGTGTGTGTTTGTACGTGTGTGTGTGTGTTTTTTTCTTTGAAATGGTGTGTGTGTGTTTTTCTATATATGTATATACTATGATTAAATAAAAGAAATTAAATTCTGAGCGGATCAGCCGATATTTAATATAAATCGGATTCCACTAATTTTTTGACATGTGGCACTCTTGAGTCTTAACTCTTAATATGGGTTTTTTTTTTTTCCAATTATTAGAATCCTAATTATATTTTTATTTAAACTATCCACCTGTCAATCATCCTATGGCATCCAATTTTCCTGTTAAAACAGGTCATTCGGTCTAAATTTGCACCCATAAATAAATGGAAGAAGATGTTATAACTAATATGTTTTATTTGGCCACGGAAAGTATGCTCAAATTATGAAAAAAACCCTTTCTTATGGAGATAAATACAATTACTTCTATCAAATTATGTTATCTCACACGTCCCATCTTTATGGTCAAATTTGCCCACAGAGTGATGGGGTCTTTTTTCGTAAAATAATACATAGGCATTGAAGAGGTGGTAGTATCTTCACACACGAACTTTTTTTGTAATTTTGAACTTATCTCGGATGTGACCGTAATTTGCACTGAGAATATTTGAGGGATGTGTACTGAATACATGAGTTGTGTGTATCATCTATCTATCAAATGTGGTATTTTCAAGAATATTTGGAGATAGTAGTCACACTTCATGCTTATATCATCACTCTCTCATGTATGCCGTACACGTGGCATGATGACTATGAGTTAAGATTGTGGGCCTTACGATCTTAGGGAGAAAGTGGTCCCACCTACTGGGAGTGCCCATAACCCAATTATTTCCATAATTAAGTTGGTCCAAATTATATTGAGTTCTTGCTTGGTTACATCTTATCTCATTTTCTTGTTTCCCTCTCAATGAGGTTGAAAATGATTGACAAATATACCCATATATATATATATATATATATATATATATATATATATATATATATATATATATATATATTCTGGAGATGAATATTTTAGTTCAATATAATTAATGAATTTGCTCATGGTTTGTGATTTAATTATATCATCCACTACTTTTAGATATTAGTGATGATTTTCAAGGTTAATTATGGGTCATTGAGATGTTACACTCGATGAAATACACCAGGTGATTTTTAACTATCGACGTAGTGAAATATCTCACCACTAAGCATACATGAGTGTGTGTATAATTACATACAGATCAACGGTTAATAATCACCTGGTGTAGCATTAGATAAACAGTTCATTGTGTGGATTAATTAACCACAAAATAACTTAACCAATAGGATAATTACTCACAAAAGCTAGTGCTTATCCAAATTAACAATCTTTCAAAGATCTCCCTAATTGTACTAATCTAAAGAGCAATTGAAATTGAAGCAAGTGCATGTGGATGAATTCAATCTCAAGAACTTCATGAGTAGGTTGTTTGAAAATCTCCCCTATGCACTTTTAAGGAAATGAAATAAAAACAAACATTATCATTACATCATAGGGGAGGTGGTCATTAAATTCTTACATTGTTTTGTTAAGGTAATCAATAATGTAACACAGTTAAAAGTCAATTTTTTAGTGATCATGTTACCTTATTAGATAACCGAGCGTGATTTAGTAATACTCCAATTTGACCACTATTCATCGATAATATGATTTCTTTTGCTTCTTAATCTCAAACATTTCGATTTAGTTTCAGTTTCAAAGACGTATGTCATTTTTCGGTGATCATGTTACCTTATTCGATAACCGAGCATGGTTTAATAATACGCCAATTTGACCACTATTCATCGATAAAAATGATTTATTTTCGCTTATGAATCTCAAACATTTTGATTAGTTTCAGGTTCAGTTTCAGTTTTCGGTTTCAGAGACGTATGAATATTTACGTCAAATGTGCACAATGCTTAGCTCCACACACACACACACACACACACATATATATATATATATATATATATATATATATATATATATAAGTATAGTGGCTAAGAGCACTTGCAATAGGAAGAATATTGCAGAGGCATAATGTAATGCAGCAGGGTAGATAGACCCACTGATGATATTACAATCCATATAGCATCAAATTTAGTGTCCTGGAAAATTGTCCTTTGCCCATGCCATCAAAATTTTTGGACCTATTATTGGTCAAATTATTTGTTCAATTTCACATTTTTTATATATATACATATACTTGATGGGATAAAGACTAAAAGACGATAAAAAAAACACAGAGGAAAATGACTTCATTCCATTAACCAAAAGTTTATTGTGAAGGTCTTTTTATTGGGAAAAAAAGGAAGAAAGAAAGAGGTAAGATATACTCAACCTTTGGTGTATGTCCATTTCATTTCTAAGGCTATGTGAAATTGATTTTTCTTTTTTGCGAAATAAGATTTAACGGGCTTATCAGCTTCTAAAATATCTGATACCGTTGATGAACGAACGTATAAGTATTCGCAGTTACGAAAGACGGGAAGTTTAATATTATATGTATAAAGCATATATTTTATAGATGAAGGAAAATTTTGATATTGAGGATTGATTTGAAAGGTTACCTACTAAATACTAATTAAATCATTCAAAACAAATTGGACAAAAAATCATCTATATATAGATAGACATTACATATGAAAGACTTGTTGTACGGTTAAGAATATGATTTGCTCCTAACAGTTAGGTTTACTACAACTAAATCTCAATATATCATTACAATCAAATGATTGATAACAACAAAAAGGGCCACCAAAACTAAAATACACATACAAAATTCCACCGGCTTAAATCATATTCGACGAGCTCGACCTAAAAAGTGTTAGGAAATCGAACTCGAGTCGTTAGACATCGACGCGCTCTCATCCTCCACACCTTACGGTTGCGGACATCATTTTATAAATTTGACATTTATTGTTGAAAATTATCCTTAAACTTTGGCGCACACACACACGCACCCCGTTTGTATTTATTATAATATAGTACTCTCTCCGTTTCATTTTAAATGTCGTTTTTTATTCTTGCGCACATATTAAGAAAATCAATAAATATGCATAAATTTCAGCAAAAAACATAGTAAATTACTGAAATATCCTAGTGATTATTTTTTTTT